GGGAGCTCGAATTTCGGGCTGTCTACATATGACTGTTCAGACGGCTGTACTGATTGAAACTTTATTGGAATTAGGTGCTGAGGTGAGTTTTTCACGGATTTCTCACGATCTTCCCCGAAGGAATTGATCCCTTTATGATTCTGTGTAGAAGTTTTTCTGTCGAACTCCTACAAGCCTTATAGATTTTATGTTTCGATGCAACAAACTTACGATTTTTTTTACCATTCATTCTTTGAAATGCAGTTTTATTTTTTCACTTGATTTTTGACATGTGAAATTTTTTGTGATTGAATCTGTGGCCTGCAGAATTTTCCATATAATTATTCAGTATTTATTGATAATTTGCTTGTTATGTGTAGACAAAATTATTGGCTTTATTCAGATGTAAATATCGGCTAAGTGTGAAGTTTTTTAAAAAATGTTGAAGGATGAAACATGTGCAAGATATGAAGAATTAATAGTTTAGTTGAAATTTAATAAGTTTCGGTCCATTAAATTATATAACTTATGTTATTTTTCCGCTTTTTAAGTTACATAAGCCTTAACTCCGCGCCACAACTGGACCTCGTCAGTAATGCGATTGTTTCATAAATCATCACATTTTAATTTTAAAAAAAAATATGCGAAACAAGCGGCCACGACAAAGAAAACGAAATCAACATTCAGCAACGAATTTCACTGTCTTTCTCTTGATCTGTCATGAAAATTTGTTGGGTAAAAATCGCAAATTTTGCTTTGTAATTGTATGCATCAAACTTTCTCGTAGTTTTAACAAAGCGCGAAATTTTCCTTATCAATAGAGTAGTAACGCTGAAGAAATAAAAAACATTGATTGGCTATAAATTGAGCTTAAAAAAATGCTTAAGTTGAAGGTCAAGGTCGACTTTTTCAAGTTATTTTTGTGTTGACATACAGCATTTTCTTTTTTTTTACAGGTGCAGTGGTCTTCATGCAATATCTTTTCAACGCAGGATCATGCTGCTGCAGCAATAGCGCTACGAGGAGTTCCTGTTTATGCATGGAAAGGAGAAACTGAAGACGAATATGAGTGGTGTATTGAGCAGGTAAGGTGAACTGCCAAATTTCCTTCGGTTTTTATAGTCCACTACTTTATTTGTCATTCTTCGGCCTACCTACGGCTGCCAATTACCTCCTTACATCTACCATAACCCCGAAATTCCTGCTTGAAATGACTGCTTTTTAGCTGTGCCTCCGTTTCCCTTTCCTTCCTATTTTTTATTACACGTTTTTTTACTATCTCACTATTGTGTTGAATGCCACTGATTTTTAGACATTGGTATTCAAAGATGGTCAGCCGCTGAACATGATTCTGGATGATGGTGGTGATCTTACCAATTTTGTGCACCAAAAATTCCCGCAGTATTTAAGCGGAATTTATGGATTGAGCGAGGAAACGACAACTGGCGTCCATAATCTAACCAAAATGTTCAAAGCTGGAAAATTAAAGGTTAATTTGTTGTATCAGCAACTTTTCGGAAAAATATGCATTGTTAATATGCATTGATTTGCACAAAAAAGACTTTTCTGGGAAATGTTTAACTTGGCGGGTAACCAGAAAAAGGGAATGATGACCGTGAAAGAGGTGGCCACTGTTGTGACTACTCTTTTGCCCTCCTAGGGAC